TCTAGTAGCCAGAGATGATGTCTATAGGAAGGTTTTCCTATGGACCCTCAAGGAAGTCTTCTTTGTAGTGGCCAAAATTGGAAGTGACTCAAATACTTATAAAGGATCAGTGAAAAATGGCCTGGTGTGATGACACAGTGATTGAACTCTTGCCTTGCATGTGCAGGATCCCATAATGGGTGCTGGTTTGTGTTCCGGCTGCTTCACTTCCCATCCAGCTCCCTGCTTGTGGCCTGGGAAAGCAGCTGAGGATGGCTAAACCCTTGGGATCCTGTACTTCACAAGGGAGACTTGGAGGAAGCTCCTGACTCCTGGCTTTGAATCAGCTCAGATCTGGCCATTGGAACCACTTAGGGAGTAAACCAGCAGATAGAGGATCTTTCTCTCTGTCTTTCTCTCTGTAAATCTACCTTTCCAATAAAATAAATAAATCATATATATATAGATCAGTTGAAAAACCAAGTTGTGACATATTGGTAAGATGCAATTCTCCTTTGTTATAAAAACAAACGGACTACTTACTCAGAGAGTTACCTGGATGAACGTCAAAATAATTACATTGAATGAATGAAAATAAATTTTTACTTTCTAGAAAAAATTTTAATTTTTTAAGTTTTTAATTTTTTAAAAGTAGATTTAAAGACTAAAGGAGAAACAGCGAGAGATCTCTTATCCACTGGTTCATTCCCCAGAAGGCCACAAGGATCAAAGCTGAGCTGATCTGAAGCTGGGAGCCAGGAGTCTCCCCTAGGTCTCGAGGCTTCATCCTATGTCACCTTCCCGGGTTATAAGTAGGGAGCTAGATTGGAAGTGCAGCGGCTGGGACTTGAACCACCACCCATACAGGATGCTAGATAGAGGATTTGACTGTTATGCCATCATGCTGCTTTCCGAGAATATATTTTTAAAAGAACCTGTACTTGTTGATTTTATCTATATCTATAGTTTTAGAAAATGTGAATGAATCTATGGTGACAAAAGGTGATTTGTCGGTGCCAGGCACATTGTAAGGAAAGCAGGAAGGGGGCAGGGAGGTTACCCGGAGAGTTCGGGAGTTTATGTTCTTTCTAAAAAGGTATTTGAGGAAACCCAGGGCAATTTGAGGAAACCCAGGGCAATCTGGATCTATTATCTTGATTGGGTTGATAGTTTCACTGAAGCAAATGTAAGTCAAAACGCATCACATTGTACCCTTTAAATATGTGCAGTTTGTTTTCAGTAATGTAGTCATGATATTTCTATTTACAAACCTCACAATTGAAGATAAAAGTTAATTATTTATATAGTTATTTATGGCCTTTCATTAACTCTTTCACTGCAAGAGACATTCCACTATATTTATCCTTCTTAATTCATTTAGCAATCAATTCAAAGAGTTAAGCAAGAGGGAAGCAAAGTTGGAGAAACAAAGATAAATTTTTCTAACTAATGAGATAGAGAACTAAGGTTTATTACATAGTTATTATAGAACAGCTACTATAATCACATCAATGTTATCAGTTCATTTGTTTTGCACAAAATAGTGCAAAATTGCACCAAAATGGTGTCTTGGGGGTAGGCGAGGTCTTTAGGTCTTTGGGGCGTGCCCGCAGAAGGCAGTTCTTGTAGGAGGCTTGGTTATAAAAGCTCTCTCTATGTTTCCTTGCTGGACATGTGACTTTCTGTTTTGTTCTGTAATGCACTGGTGTCCTTGACAGATCCTGCACCAGAACAATGGCGTGGCCTGATCTTGGATTGTCAGCTTCCAAAACCATGGGACCAATTTAAACTTCCTTCTTCCTAAGCAGCTTCTCTCAGGTGTTCTTCTAACAGCATGGTTACATGATAGCAAAGTAACAAAAGGCTGACAAATAGGCTAGCCCCACTGCTCAAGAAGCCTTGGAGACTTTTAAGAGCCTGCATTAGCTGTGACACAGGGACAGCTCATGGACTACCACACAGGCAGAAGTTAAGTGATCTTCATTGCTCCTGCAGTCCTTAATGTGCTAGGCCAGTTCAGAATGCAGTCACTTTGCACAGCAGGTTCTGTGGAAGTTGGTAATATAACGACAGTGGGTTAGAAGCTGCCCTTTATAAGCACCTACCATGTGTGTGCTAAATTTTCTTACATGAGTACATTTTCTTTTCTCTCTCTCTTTTTTTTTAAGTTGTATTTATTATTATTATTTTTTTTTTTTGGAAAGGTGGATATACAGAGAGGAAGACAGACAGAGAAGATCTTCCATCTGATGGTTCACTCCCTAAGAGGCTGCAATGGTTGGAGCTGAACCAATCCGAAGCCAAGAGCCAGGAACTTCTTCTGGGTCTCCCCCATGGGTGCAGGGTCCCAAAGCTATGGGCTATCCTCAACTGCTTTCCCAGGCCACAGGCAGGGAGCTGGGTGGGAAGCCGGGCCGCCGGGATTAAAACTGGCACCCAGATGGGATCCTGGCGTGTTCAAGGCAAGGACTTCGGCTACACTATCGTGCCAGGCCCCTTCTTTCTCTCTCTCTCTTTTTAAGATTTATTTATTTTTATTGGAAAGTCAGAGAGAAGGAGAGACAAAATCTTTCATCCTCTGGTTCACTCACCACGTGGCCGCAATGAATGTAGTTGAGCCAGGAGTCAGGAGCTTCCTCCATGTCTTTTACTTGGGTGCAGGGTCCCAAGGCTTTGGGCCATCCTCTACTGCTTTTCCAGGCCACAAGCAGGGAGCTGGATGGGAAGCAGAACATCTGGGATACAAACAGGTACACATACAGGATCCCAGTGCGTGCAAGGAGAGAACCTGAGCCACTTGGATATTGTGTAGGGCCCTATGGATAAATTTTCATTAATAGCTCCATGATTTAGTATTGCTATCTCTTATATATATATATATATATATGAAACATATATATTTTTAAAACATATATTTTATAAATAAAACAACATAACACATATTTTATAAATGTATATAACATCTATTTTATAAATATGTATATGTTTATATATAATAACATATATAACACACATATATTTTACAAGCATATATTTTAAACATATATTTTATAAATATATGTTTATATATATAAACATATAAGCTATATATGTTACTTTGCATATATAAAAATAATATTTATATATATTATATTTCATATATAAATATATATGAAACAAGTAGCAATATAACAAGTGTATAAAAGCGTAAAATGAAAGGAGTGGGCATTGTGGCATAGTGGGTTAAGCTCCTGCTTGTGACTCCTGCATCTCAAGTGGGAGTGCAGGTTTGAATTCTAGCTACCCCATTTCCAATCCACCTTTTGGGAAGGCAGCAGATGATGAACCAAGTACTCGGGCCTCCGGTACCCATATGGGAGACTGGGGTGGAGTTCCTAGCTTCTAGCTCAGAGTGGCCCAGGACTTGCTACTGCAACATTGGGGGTGTGAGCCAGCATTTAGAAGATCTCCTGTTCTCTGTCTCCTTCTCACTTTCACCTTCAAATATATAGATCAATCTCTATAAAGCAATTGAGCTACAGAACATTGGCAGTTGGGCCCAGCACAATAGCCTAAGTGGCTAAATCTTCACCTTGCAACTGCAGGGATCCTATACGTGAGCCAGTTGCTCCCATGTGTCCTAGCTGCTCCACTTTCCATCTAGCTCCCCTCTTGTGGCCTGGAAAAGCAGCTGAGGATGGCCCAAGGCCTTGGGACCCTGCACCCCACACAGGAGACATCCTGGCTCCCGGCTTTGGATCGGCTCAGCTCTGGCCATTGCAGCCACTTGGGGAGTGAACCAGCAGATGGAAGATCTTTATGTCTCTGCTTCTCTCTGTAAAGCTATCGTTCTAATAAAATAATCTTAAAAAACAAAAAGAAAAAAGTTGACAACCACACTTCCATGTAAAATGTTGTCTTATATCTACAGTAAACAGCTGTTGAGATTAAGAACAGCCACTTGGTAGTCTGACGCATTCAAATGTCTTCATAAATTATATTAGAGGACACTTAGAAAATACTTTTATGGTGTTTTATCTTTATTGGCATTTTGCCTTCTGCCGAGGGTAACAGGAGCCTGGGCAAGCTTTGTCTTCCCTTCCAGAATCTGACACTGGTGTTTGATGTGAAGTATCATCATTTCAACATCACAAACTGAAGCTGGAAGTGGTTTGTTCTGCATGATAATGAGTGTAGTTTTTTACACAAGCACGCCTGACTCCAGGTTCTGAGCAAGCTCATTAATAGCAGGTTGCGATGTATGCACCCACAAGCTCGTCACCACCACCGAAGGCCAGTGCTATATTTAAAAAGCTATATTTAATACTCAGCCTCGTACGCGTGGTCATGTGTTCAAGAAAACTCAATGAAAATGTTTATGATGCTGATGAGTAGTTTACAGACCAAACAGCTGTTTGCTAAAGGTGTTAGCAGTGCAGGATGCAGCTGCTAGTTGAAGTCATCAATTACACAAAAGTAGGATGAGCTGGTGTCCTCAGATTCTCAATGAAATCACAAAAGACGGGAACAATACAAATAGTGAATGAACCAAGGGTTTCAAAAGAAAATTTGTACCAAAATAAGCTTAGCGTTTAATTCCATTTTTCGCGGTACTCTCACACGCCTGTTTAAAAATTTCGTTTTATTCCTCCTCTAAAACTTGGATTGATTCTCAGATCAAATTCATCTAAGTTTGTTGAATGTGTATTATGCGGCTGAATAACAAGACCTCAAAGGTGAACGCTCGTAAAGCAAGGTCTACGTTGTTATTCAGCACACTGTCAGTTTTTCGGTAGTTTTATCAAAAGCCAAATTTGGGAAATAATCCTCAACTCGCAGTGTTTCGCTCTCGCAAAGCTTACCTGACCGGCTTTCCCTTGAAACACTCGACAATCAGACCTCTTGTAGGCGGGGCCGAAGGGAAACGTACTCTCCCATCCTTCTCCAGTTCGCGACTGCGCATGCCTCCTCGGAGGTGGTGGGGCGGGCAATGACCCTGTGAGGCTGCCGTAGTGCAGTGCGCAGGAGCCTTGGCGCCTGCGCATGCGCTCGGGACAGAGGCCTGGCGGAAGCCAAGATGGCGTACGAGTGGTCGCCTGGCCGCAGTTGGCGCCTTGTCAGTATCTGAGAGGGGTGTTTGGGAAGGGGTTGTGGAAAACTCCCGTTCGCCGCCATGGCCCGACATCGGAACGTCAGAGGCTATAATTATGATGAAGGTAGGTGTCGGGGTCCTTCCGAGAAGTCCGTTTGCCGTTCCAGCTGGGATCCCAGCCCGCTGTTATCCACTTCCATTTGGGAGTTAAGACAGAGGTGCCGGGCGAGAATTCGGAGAGGCCCGAATGGGGCAAGTAATAGGACATCTGAATCCCCGCGAGGGGCGACCAGGTGTGACTTTCCGCCCTCCTAGGTAGATCTTTTCGAGGGAGGAGCAAGTGTCGCCCACAGTCACAGGGAAGGGCGTTTGGGAGCCGCGATCGGGTGATAGACACGTCAACACGATCCCATCTCGGGTTTGTTTCCCACGCAGGTGCCTCTCTGTAATCTTTCTCCTCTGTATCCCCTCTAAAACGTGTTCGTGAGCCGCAGCTTACTTGTAAATATGAGTCGACTTACTGCCTAAGTCGGAGACCCGATGTAATTGTCTTACATGTACGTTAAAAAAGTATATACACACACACTCCATATATATATATATATGGTATAGTCACATATATTTAGCTCAGTTAGTTTCTGCTGCAAGAATATTTTTGGCGAGTGTTAAATAGGAACCATAGATGACAGTAAAAGAAAAAAAAGAAGCAAGCTACATACCAAAGAGTGAGTGGGTCACATGATCCTGTTCACCTTCGCTGGTAATGCTTACTGTAGGCGAGTTTTGAAATGGATGAAGCAGTAGTGCTATAGCAAAGGAGGGCGTGGGAGAGGAGTTAGTGATTAACAACAACAACAACAACAAAGCAGAATGTGTGTGTGTGTATGTGTGTGAATGCCATTAGAGTAGAGCTCCTCTCCCTTCAAGTGGTGGCTGGTTACAGGACTTGCCTTGCAGCCTACAGACTGAAAACAAAAAACAATTATGAACGACTGCAGGCAAGAATAAAGACCTACTGCTTTGTAATGTGCAGAGGTTGTAGTGTATAGTATGTTGGTCGTTAACTGGCAACCCCAGTCGATGATGCTAGAACACTGTCAGTGTGTTCTCACAGAGGGCTGCTAACATCTTGCACTACACTTGGAAGCTGTGACCCAGTGTGTCCTGCACCTGTGAATTTTCTGGGGTTCATTTGAGAATGGAAACCCTTTTAAGTAAATATTGTAAGTGGATGTAGGTATTACGTGTGGAGTACTCTCTGGGACTTCAGACTGGGAGACAGTTTTACAAATACAGGATAAAGAGCATGAATATTTATTCTGTAGTCATTTCTGTAGTAGTTCCTTATCATTTCCTTAAGCAACACTGAGTGCTTGGAGTACGTGGGATATTGAGGATAATTTAATTGGGAAGGTAGTACCAGTTGCTATTAGGTGACTAGAGTGTGTGAGGCGCTGCAAAAGGTATTCACAGAGAACTGTGGGGGCCACTTGAGTGAGAATGCTCAACTGGGAGTGAACTGGGGGTGTTTTTGCAGGGCTTCTGTGTGAGGGAAGACGGAAGAGGAGAGGGCTAAGCCTCAGCGAGTGGGAGTGTCTTCTCACGTTGGCCAGTGAGGTCATGTTGTCCTGTCACCATGTTGCTTTGGAATGGCTGGTGACATCATAACCAGTCTGTTCCTTCCTAGGAGGGCCATTCCTTTTTCCTGCTTACAGAAGTTTTGCTTGTCTTCAGAGTGCAATGTATTTCTCTTCTGAGTTAAACATTCCCTTGGACTCAAAATAATAATTTGGAATTTTCTGTAAGTGATAGAACCTCATGAGAGAGTTTGTTCTCTGTGACTTGATGGGATTTTCTGTTTAATTCCTGCTTTTTCTTTGTAAGTACTTGGTTTTTGGGTGGTACTTTATGTGACTGCTTCAGTTACTAATTTAGAAATCAAGGAAAACAAAATTCATACTTTATTCCAATGCCAGGCAAAATACATGTGTAGTAAAAACTCCAAAATCTTGTGGAAATGAGGCCCTTTACAAAGATGATAGAAAAATAATCCTCTTCATCTTTTTATACATTGTGGCACTTTGAGGATCAATTTCAGTATTGACAGACTGACCTGGTAGAAAGCATACTTATTACCTTTAGCATCTAAATATACATATTTGTAAATGGGGCCTTATTTACTAACACATTATTGCTTGTTAACTTGGCACTGAAATCTAATAAGTTATTGTATGTTATCCATGTTTTGGGAAGGTTTTTTTTTTTAAAGATTTGTTTTTATTTGAAAGGCAGATTTTTACAGAGACAAGGAAAGTTGGGGATCCGTCATCTGTTGGTTCACTCTTCCAGTGGCTGCCACAGCCTGAGGAAAAGCCAGGAGCTTCTTTCCAGCCTCTCATGTGGGAACGGATCTGAAGTGGAACAACTGAACACAAATTGTTGTCCTTATGGAATGCCATGCTTATGGGTGAAGGATTGGCCTGCTCCACCACTATGCCAGCCCCTATGGTTTCAGCCAGGGGTAGCATTGATCTAATTGATCTTTGCCAGGAGCATGGTGTATCTGCTGAGTGAAAATTCTTAGAAATTAACTAATTGTATCCTGTGGAATTGATTTGGATAGTGTATGCTTGGTGACATTTCCCTAGCTATCCCGCTCTTAGTTCTAGTTTTGTTGTTTGTTACCAGTTGCTTGGGCTTCTCAGGCTGAGCACTTGCCGTATGGTTTGTAATTGCCTGTTATGTTGTCTGTGTTCTCAGTCAAATTCTGGTTTGGAAAGAATTGAAGTGTGCTTACTGCTGTGTCACAGATGAGTCTAATAGTTCCTGGCATAGCTTTAGTATTTGTCAGATACTGAAAGACTGAAGAATAACATTTATGTGAATGTACTCATGGTTCTTGTGGGTTTTTTTTTAAAGATTTATTTTATTTTTGTTGGAAAGTCAGATATACAGAGAGGAGAGACAGGAAGATCTTCTGTCTGATAATTCACTCCCCCAAGTGACCACAACCGCCAGCCGGTACTATGCCAATCTGAACTCAGGAGCCAGGAAGTTCCTCCAGGTTGCCGCCATAGGTGCAGGGTCTCAAGGCTTTGGGCCGTCCTCGACTGCTTTTGCAGGCCACAAGCAGGGAGCTGGATGGGAAGAGGGGCCACTGGGATTAGCACAGGCACCCATATGGCAACCCGGTGCATTCAAGGAGAGGACTTTAGCTGCTAGGTCACCGTGCCGGGCCTTTCTTGTTTATTTTAGTGTCAAATAATTTGATATATTAACATACAAAAAATGTTAATTTAGTGCCAAGTAGTTGGGTAAGCCAAGTCTTGGTCTGAAGGAGCTGATAGACTGATGGGGTGAGACAGGTGGCTGTGCTTTAAGGACACTACAATGGAGGGTGTGCTGGGAATGATGATGGCACCATGGAGGGTGTGCTTGGGGGCAGGCAACAGTGGCACCATGGGGGGTATGCTAGGGGCGACAATGGCACCATGGAGGGTGTGCTTGGGGGTGACAATGGCACCATGGGGGCTGTGCTGGGGGCGGCAATGGCGCTATGGAGGGTTTGCTGGGGGCAATGATGACACCATGGAGGGTGTGCTGGGAGCAGCAATGGCGCCATGGAGGGTGTGCTGGGGTGTGATGATGACAGAGAGGTGTGCTTCTTACGGTTGTCAGAGGACACTTCTGTAAATGGGTGATATTTATGCTGGACCTGAACTAGAAGAAGGGAACAGCATTGGAAAATCAGATCAGAGAGCATATCCTAGTCATTAGGAAAACAGGCATTTGTCGACGTCAGTGGAGTGAGCATAATAGTGTTTAAGGGAAGGCAAGTTTACGAAGAGCTTACCCAGTTCTTGGCTGCTATGGAGGAGAGCTGTTTTAGTTTTTAGGAGGGCAGTTAGTGAAAAACTTTGGTGGATTGCTTGTTTCAGTTCTGTGTCAGTACTGGAAAGACAATTCAATTTTGTTCATGAGTTGAAAATGTGGAAAACTTTAAAACTCACTTAGCTTAAACACTGAAGAGCCATAGATGCCTGTTTATGTGAAGAATTTCAATGAATACTTTCTGAATGAAATTCTTACTTTTTGGAAAAGTAGATATCCCAGGTCCCTTTAATTTTGATGAGCAATTTATTTGGGGGAGAATTCAGATACTTCTGCATCAATAGCGGACAGTGTAAAAAATTGTAAATGAATTTGTCTCTTGTTTTTGTTTCAGATTTTGAAGATGATGATCTATATGGTCAGTCTGTGGAGGATGACTACTGTATTTCTCCATCAACAGGTGAATTTTACTATTTTTAAAAGATTTATTTTACTTGAAAGGTAGATTTACAGAAAGGGGAGGAATTAGGGAGAGAGGGAGGGAAGCAAAGAGGCAGAGAGAGAGAGAGATTGAAAAGAGAGATTTTTTCCTGCTGGTTCACTGTCCAAATGGAGAAAGTGGCTGGAGCTGGGCTGATGTGAAGCCAGGTGCCTGATCTTCTTTTAGGTCTCCCACATGGGGACCCGGCGGCATGGCCTAGCGGCTAAAGGTCTCCCAAGTGGGTACAGGGGCCCGAGTACTTGGGCTATCTTTTGCTGTTTTCCCAGGCCATTAGTGACGAACCTGAGTGAAAGTAGAGAAAGAAGGAGAGACAGAAAGAAACAGAGACAGAAAATGAATTTTTCATCTGCTAGTTTCCTCCTGAAATGTTTGCAGTGGCTGGAGCTGAGTTGATCCAAAGCCAGGAGCCAGGAGCCAGGACCTTTTTCCCAGTTTCCCATGGGAGTGCAGTGGATGGGTGACGTGGGTCATGCTCTGCTTTCCCAGGCCATAAGTAGGGAGCTGGATTGGAAGTAGGGTATCTCAGATGCCTGTGCCACAAGTGGAGCCCTAGTTTTGCTGTGCCACCATGCCAACCCCAAAATACCTTAAATTTAAGAATCACTACAGATGTGTATTTTTTCAGAAACTGTTTCTGTTAAAGTTTATGAAGAATAGCATTTTGCAATTATTTTTTTTTTCACCACTGTTACTTTCTATTTTTATTGCAATTATCGCCTTTTGGTTTTTCATGAGTACTCCAAAAGTTTAGACTGTTTTTCCTCCTCCTGAGAGTGATTTGCCTAGCAAATTTAATCATCTGTACTTCTGAAACAGTGGCTTAAGTCTGAATTGAATTTGTGTGTTTGTGGGACATGGTAGTGATAGGAATACTGCTCCCCTGTCCCCTGACCCCTAGGAAGTACAGTAGAAATTTTTACATTGAGAATGTTCTAGTCTCTGTCATTATTTCCTAAGTGACACTTGTTGCTTTCTTGTCTCACTTGATTTTTGTTTTTAAATTTAAAAAAATTGGGCCTGGTGTGATAGCTCAATGACTAAATCCTCACCTTGCATACATAAGGATTGTATGTGGGCACCAGTTCCTATCCTGGCTGCTCCACTTCCATCCAGCTGCCTGCTTGTGGCCTGGGAAAGCAGTAGAGTATGGCCCAAGGCCTTGGGACGCATGTACCTGCCTTTCCAATAAAAATAAATATTAAATTTTTAAATTTAATATATTTTGGAGGTAGAGGGGAGAGAGAGAGAGAGAGAGAGAAAGACACAGACAGCTATAGAAGGAGAGAAACCTTTCATCTTCTGGTTCTTTCTCCAAGTACCTAGGAACTGGGGTTCAGTCTGGGCCTCCCACATGGTGGTAGGGACCCAAGTATTTGAGTCATCTACTGCTACTTCCCAGGTGCACATTGCCAGGTGGCTGGAATCGGAGTCAGTCTTGTACCCGGGACTTGATCTAGGTGTTTGGTATGAGGTACGGGTGTCCCAAGTTGTGTCTTGCCCACTGCACCAATTTATTTTGGGATTTGTTCTTCGTTTCAGTTTCTTCCTCACAGTTCTCAGAAAAAATTGATGAAAATATGTTTTCTGACTAAACTTAATGCAGTTTATTAAAGCTGGTAAAGCAGTTTGTAAGTCACCGGGTAAAAAATGGATCTAACTGCATTTTTAAATACTATCACATTTTATTATATCTAAGATTCTGTTGGTTGTGAGATGTACCAATATTTTACAGACCACTTCAGGACAAAAGGTTTTGTTAATCAAGGTACTGCGTTACGCTGAGATGCTATTTGATAGTAAGGCATAGCTGAAGTTTTAAGATTTTAAGCACGTGAAAAAAATGTGTCCCTATAAGAGAATTTATGAAGTCATCTGACTTCATTACTCTATTATTATCATGCAAAATAGGGATAGTATGTATTTATACACATATGTGGATATAAGTAAATATGTACATTCTTGAAAACTTTGTGATCTTCAAAGTTAAATGCTAAAAATCACAACTTACCTAAAAAGTAGAGCCTGGTCTGATTGCTTGATTTGTAGAGTACTAACAGAAACAGGAATCTTAAAAGGGCTTGCATGTTTGAAAAGAGAAATAGCTTTCTAATGTTCAGTAAATGTGGGCTTTTCATAAAAAAAGAAGTGAGAGCTTCATTGAAGGAGATGTAATAAAGGTTGAAACTGATGAGAAAGTTACGAATGTCAAACCAGCCTTTACAGATCTAAGAGTACTGGGCAGTAATGGACTCCTGAGTCAGGATGCCTGGATAGATTGAGCACAGTGGTGCAAAATGAGGCTGGGTAGAATTATGGTGTAGTTGCAGTATAAGAATCCATGTGGTTGGTATTACTGGATTTCATATCTGCTACCTTTATGTGGTGATACAAATTTGAAGTGTTGGGGGAAGGATTTCATCCATTGAAGCATCTTCAGTATCCTCATTCTTCCTCTGTCTGTTAGTATGAGGAAAAAAAATGTATTTTAGCAGAGTAGATTGAATTGTTTTTATAGGTCTGTATTTTTCTACTTTTGTGTTTTAGGTTCCTATATTCTTACATATTTTCGTATCAGTTGCTGCAGAATTTCATGATTATCTGTGCTTCTGCAGCATTTTTATCTGTTTTACTTATTTGAGTTTTAGAATAATTTCACTTTACTTTTTTGGCTTTCCTGCTAGTCTGTAAGGTCCTTGATTTACCCTGTGAATAGAAAGCTCTCATGCCGCGGCCTTCTGAGTGTAGGTGTTCGCTTAGGTCATAGGTTAATTTTTTATGTTGTTAGTAATGGCTTCCTAAAAACATGCAAAAGCCAAATGTAAGCAGCATGTTACATGTTCTGAAAGAAAGCTACGTATTGTAAAACCCCTTATTAAAGATTTTGCCTTTTGTTGACAATTTCCCCCTAATGTATCCTTTGATTTCATTTGTTCACAACTCAATATAATCTCCAGAACTGAGGTCTTCAGAGAGCCTGTGTGCACTTAGAATGTGCCTGATGACTTTTTCCTACCTCATTTGTAGTTCATTTGTGATACTTGAACATTTCTTAGATAGTGACACCTTGGTAATCTGTCCTCTTTGAATTGAGATGTTTAGTAGTCCAGCTATGTTTTTGAGGGATGGCACTGTCACTGTAGAGTCCCACATGCTGATAACTGATAAAGTTAGATATGTCATTCATTCATTTCCATATCAGTGTATGAAGGTTAAGAAAGACCTGGTGAACTCTTGGACTCAACAAAATAAGCAGTTTTTGTGAAGTGAAATTAGCTGAGTTCTTTTTTAGTTATCTAAATAAGCAACATTGTTATATTTTGTGAAATCTGTACTAAAAGTTTTATGTAACGCAGTAGATTAAGGATGAGATAAAAAGTTAATGGAACTGACTATACTGTATTCTATGATTTTATATTTTAGCTGCTCAGTTTATTTACTCACGACGTGACGAACCTTCAGTTGCTGAACCTGTAGAAGACTATGATTATGAAGATCTGAAACAACCTTCCAACTCTGTTTTAAGCCATCAGCTAAGTGAAATTGATCAAGGTATACTGTAAAAGTTGACTGTTGTATTTCTTCACTAAAAAGTAATTAATAACCAAATCCACCAAAATGTATCCATTTTAGTTTGATTATTATTAGCTGACTGGACAGTAATGATACAAACATCAATTATATCTTGAAAAATCCCCATTTTATTAAGTATATAATAAACTTTCAACTTTTTGGTTGAAAACTGATTATTGTTTAGTAGCAGCAACTTTTGATTGAACTGTCCCATTCTTTGACTTTTCTTTCCGTAAGAGAGAAGCTACAGTGACTTGTTATAGCAACATTAAATAACATTTGTTGTTTAATAAAAACAATTTGTGGAACATATAATTAGTTTATAGAAGTGTCTTCATTGACAAAGACACTGAGTGGCAAAAGACTGAAAAAAGTTTAAGACCATAATATGTGCCCTGATTTTTCACATCTGTGTACATTTAAAGATAAAACTTTTAAATTATGATGACATTGGTTCTCCGTTGGCTTATTTTCAAGTCTGTTGGATTAATAAAGATATTTATATTTTGTGTTTCTTCTATAAATAAGTTTCAAAGATGACATTGTGTCAAGCATCAGCTCGGCCGTAGACTGATAGCGGAACTTGCATATCGTGACGTAACAGGAATGCCATCTGCTGCGGTGTTGAGGAGGGCTGGAGTGATTTGTGCTCTGAAGGAGGACTGTGTTCTATGAGGGTTTTTTTTTTTAAAAGATTTATTTTTATTATGTTTTTACTGGAAAGGCGGATATACAGAGAGGAGAGACAGAGAGGAAGATCTTCCGTCCAATGATTCACTCCCTAAGTGAGCACAACGGCTGATACTATGCCGATCCAAAGCCAGGAGCCTCTTCCGGGTCTCCCACGCGGGTGCAGGGTCCCAAAGCTTTGGGCCGTCCTCGACTGCCTTCCCGGGCCACAGACAGGGAGCTGGAAGGGAAGTGGGGCTGCCAGGATTAGAACCGGCGCCCATATGGGATCCCTGGCGTGCAAGGCGAGGACCTTAACCACTTGCGCCACCGCGCCGGACCCTATGAGGGGTTTTAAGATGCATTAGCAGGAGCCTGAAAGTAGAGGTGCTGGGACTTGAACTGGTGCTCAGACATTTTTATAATTTTATCATAGAAATTTTATAATTTCAAACTAGGAAAATGAAGGAATCTGAATTGATCTTGAATAAGTCAGTAAAGTACATATCAACTGCTGATCAAATAAAAAAATGGAAAAAAAGAAAAATACAGCAAGTTCAGAAAGCTTGAAAGTAGAAAGTGAAATAACAGATATAGTAGACATAGAATTTCCTTATCAACTCTGTAAGTACGTTTAAAATTTCAGAAAAAAAGGCACAGGAGAACTATTTATGAACTCAGTAATATTGAACTGTATTTATAAACCTGTATTATGGTTAACATGGTGGGCTGAGAATGTGGCAACAGAGTAGAAGTCTTTGCCTTTAAGTGCTTTGTTTACTTCAGTTGACAATGATGGAGTGAAATCCAAAGTGATGTTTGGGAAGGAAAGCTAGTCCTTCCAGCCTGACCTATGTAAGGACTGATGACAATAACCATGATTATAGCTAACTTTCTCCCATTGTTAAAGATTTTATTTACTGCACAGTAATTCTCGGGGTTTTAGGTCTGCCAGCAGGCCGCGAGGTCACTGAGGGTGAGGCAGACAGACAGTGGCCTTTGGCCGCAAGAACTACCGAAGACAAGCTGGTGAGGAATGTCAGCTTTATTATGCACAAGTTACAGATTTTAAAGGGTAAAGAAGGGGAGGGCAGGAAGGAGCCTTCCAGCAGACCCCACGCCCACCGAAGACACTGTAATTGGCTGTATGACAACGTCCATTTCCCTAGATCTTCTGGTCATGTCAGAGGTCATGTTCCACATATACTCCCCTTGATTGTGTAGCCATGTTGGAGGTCACACTGAAAGCTGTTTCTCAGGCCATAGGGAAGGTTAGGCTTAGGCCACGCCATCCAGGCAGCAGGGCAAGGGCCTGGAACGATTGCCCACAAGTAAGAGAGGGCGAGACAGAGATCTTCCATCTGCCGACACACACCCAAATGGTTGCAGTGGTCTGCTTGAAGCTAGAAACCTTTCAGGTCTAGCTTCATGGGCAACAGGAGCAGCAGGAGCCCAAGTATGTGCTTTCCCGGCACCTTAACAGGGAGCTAGGTCTGAAGAGGAACAGCTGAGACTTGACCTTGTTCCCATATGGGATGCCGGCATTGCAATCGGTAACTTAATGTGCTGTGCCACAGTGCTAGCCCTGATGATAGTTACCTTTGTCAAGGCACCATTCTGAATACTGGTGAGATATTAAAATGTTTAATCTTCCCAACCACCTGATGATGTAGGACAGTCGTTGTCCTCATTTTACAGGGAAAGAAGAAGAGAAGGAAAGTAATTTTCCTGAGATTGTACAGGCTAGTAAGTGACAATAGGATATGAGCCAAAATCCCTTGCTGCCTCTTGGTATGTATGGGAAATTGTTCCAATAATGAATTAGAAGAGACCTTGATGCTGGCTAGCTATGCTAAGCATTTTATTTCAGTCTTAATAACTCATGAATTTATATTATTATAGTTTTTTGATATGTTAAAATCATAGACTGAAGCAAAAACAATTGCCTAGATATTTGAATTTATTTAAAATAATTATAAAATAGGGCAATAGGAAAAACTTCCCTTTTTTAAAAGTGAGAATATTGCTAGGAAAGTGCTTGTGTCACAAGTAAGCCTGTAAAATGCAATATTATTTGCGTTTTGTGAAATGGTTTTGTGGAATAGGGAGTTTGAAAACCTCAATTCTGTTTTGGTTGTTGGTGACCTGATGCTGTCATGATTTTTTTTTTTTTAAGATTTATTTTTATTGCAAAGTCAGGGGGAGAGACAGAGAAATTTTTTCTGTTCAATGACTCACTCCCCAAGTGACCACAATGGCCATTGCTGTGCTGATCTGATGTCAGGAGCCAGACCCTCTTCCGGGTCTCTCATGTGGGTGCAGGTTCCCAAGGCTTTGGGCCATCCTCGACTACTTTCCCAGGCCATAAGCTGGGAGCTGGGTGGAAGCGGGGCTGCTGGGATTAGAACCAGTGCCCATGTGGGGATCCTAGTGCATGTAAGGTGAGGACTTTAGCCGCTAGTCCACTGTGCCAGGCCTAGTGTCATGATTTTTAATCTTAATAAGTTACTACAGATTGCTGACTATGTCATGCTCAAGGAGTTAATGTGAGAATAAAAAAGGACAGATATAATAGCAGTGTGAGAACTTTCAAGTGTTTGAAAATATGTTTATTAAGTCTTGGGTACGAGTTTCTGTTTTCGATTTTAAGTACATAAAGCTTAAGATTTCACATTAATTAATATTATTAATAATTTTTTAAATTAAAACAGGCATCAGAAGATTGAAGTTCTTAAGCAATATAGGCTATTGCTTCATTTTTTATTTTTAAGATGAATATTCTTATCCACTTAATTCTCTCTTAATAAGGTTTTCTTTATTATTCGATTATTTTACTTATTTATTTTTATTTTTTTTAAAGATTTGATGATTTGGAAGACAGAGTTGTAGGATGAGGAGAGATCTTGCATCTGTTGGTTTACTTCCTAAATGTCGTAGTGGACGATGACTGGGCCAGGCTGAGACCAGGAGCTTCCAAGGGCTCCTGCGTCAGTGCAGAGTCCCAAGTGCTTGGACCATCTTCCAGTTCTCTCTCAGGTCCGTTAGCAAGGGGTGCTGGATAGGAGGTGGAGCAGCTTGGACTCAAACCAGTGCCCTCGTGGGGTGCTGGCATTGTAGGCAGTTGCTTAACTTGTTATGCTATAACGCCAGTCCTGCATTTTGCCCATGCAATTTTTAGAAATTTAGTTTTGTTTGGAGGACAGATTTAGAGAGAAATTGACACATACACGCACAGAAAGAGAGATGTTTTATCTGCTGATTCAATGAGAGACTGGCCATCTCCTGATTCAGTTCCCAGATGACAGAATTGACCAGAGCTAGCCAACCTATGACCAACAGCCAGAAGGCCAGGAGCTGGGAGCCTCCTCCTAGTTTCCCACTTGGGTGCAAGATCCATGGATTTGAGCCGCCTCTGCCTCCAGCATGCATCAGCAGGAGGCGAGTTAGAGGGGCTGGGATTGAACTGGTGCTCAGATATGGATGCAGGTGTCCCAAGTGGTTGGCCAGCCTATTGCATCACAGCACCTCTATAGGGATTTCTTAGTTAATGAACTTGTTCCTGTGATTTGGGAAAATAGTGTTATTGGTAAAAATATGATCATTGTAGATAATTTCTGCAAAGAAGTTAAATTGTAAAGGTTTCAGATCCTTTTGTCAGATGTGAAGATGGAAAATCCTTTCATAGCACTGTTTAGTTCTGATTTTGTCGTTGCTGTTAGGTTTTTGATCGTTATTGTCTATTCCAGCTCGTCTTTACTCATGCCTTGATCACATGAGAGAGGTACTTGGAGATGCTGTGCCAGAGGAAATACTGATTGAGGCGGTACTGAAAAATAAGTTTGATGTACAGAAGGCTTTGTCAGTGGTTCTAGAACAAGATAACCTGCCAAATTTGAAGGACAAGAGTGATGGAGTAGTATCTTCAGGAAAGACAGCAAAAGGTATGCCTTTACTCATTCTCTTTTAATTATTTTATGTGGTTCATATTTTTAAAGGGAGCTTTAATTTGCTTTTTTGAGCTATTAAAGAAAAAAAATTTACTCTAGAAAAAAATTAAACTTCTTGAATTCTTCAGAAATTCTTTTATGATATAATTAATTCTTTTTTGATATAATTAATTCTTGATGAGTATCAGGTTTTCTAGTGGGTGGCTTTTTAAAGCTGACTGCTATATTTCTTTCCCTCTGTTGTAACCTGTTTTCCTTTTTTCTTTTTGGTTATTTTACTACTTGTTTGCATAATTATCAGAACTTAGGGGAGATAAAATGAGATAGAAGACGACTTTCTGTTCTTGTTAGTATCTTGGCTAACTTCAGTTTTTTTGGAGATGGAAATTAATAATTAGGCAGCTAATTTAAAAAATATCTGCACTTATTACATAATTTTATTTTATTTGGATTTTTTTAAGATTTATTTTTATTGGAAAGTCAGATATACAGAGAGGAGGAGAGACAGAGGTAGATCTTCTTCTGCTGATTGACTACCCAGGTGGCCGCAGCGACTGGAGCTGAGCCGATCTGAAGCCAGGAGCCAGAGCCTCTTCTGGGTCTCTCAAGCAGGCGCAGGGTCCCAAGGCTTTAGGCCATTCTCAACTGCTTTTGCAGTCCATAAGCAGGGAGCTGGATAGGAAGCGGGGCTGCGGACAAGGCAAGGACTTGAGCCTCTGGGCTGACACACTGGGCCCATTTCATTAAGGTTTTAATAAATAAGAATCATAACCTATTAGTCCTGCATCTCATAGCATCTTTAAATTTGTAAGACTGGGGATTAGATTTGAAATTTGGAAGAAGAAAGAAGGGAGCTAGTGGTTGATTTTCTGTCTGTCCTTGGGAGCATGGTTGTTTACTGAGTTGATATTTTTTATAACTTGTGGCCTAGATGTTTGGTGTAACAAAGTTGCAAACGATCTTACTGTGAAGCAGTGTTTCAACTGAAGTAGGAGTCAAGAGTGTGTATCTTCAAGTAACCATCATGGACATTTACCTGACATATCATCTGTATTCACAGTGTATCCCAGATCAGTAGACATTACAGAGCGCTGTTTGTTTGCTAGCTTATTTAATGAGCCAAGTGCAGAAGAAATTGAGCTTTTTTTTTTAAATTTTTCAGGTATTTTGAATCTGAGGCAGCCTTGATGTTTAATTGAATTACATTATTAAATCATTTAAGATTAGAACTTTTTGAAAAATTAAAAAAAAAGAAAGATTTACTTATTAATTAATTCCAAAGGCAGAGTGACAGGGAGGGAGGGAGAGGCAGGGAAGCCGTGCGTGTTCTACTCTAAATGTCCACACTCCACACGACAGGAGAGGTCAGTGGAACCCAGAGGCCAAGACCTCCGCGTGACTCTGCCAGGGTAACAGGAACCAACTGACAATTGACTGACTTGGTGCTGGTATTTGTACATGTCAGTGAGCATATTAGGAAGTCACTTTAGACTGTTGATAGTAGATAATATTCCTTTGTTATTGTTGTAGAGTGTTCACTTAATGAGCAAGTATTTTATTCATGTCATAAGCAAAAGAAAGCATTTAGTAATTAAATGCCTCATTTCATTTTTCCTTTTGGTTGCTGTGGCTGTCTTCTGCATATGTCAATCTGTTCATCTGGAAATTAATGGCTCTTGTAAGGTAAGGAGTCTTATTTTCTTCCTCTGAAGTTTCAGCCAATAATACTCAAAATTCTTACTGTCAATCAGGAAAGCATTTGAATTGCAGTAGCAGATCCTTTGATTTATCTAGTTCAGTAGCAAAATATGGAGTGTATCATAAGCCTTCAATGGTACCAAGTCACTATTTACCCCACAGAAAACAGAAACTTGAAAGACCCCAAAGTGAAAAGAAACTAGAATCATGTAAGTTAACAAGAGAGCTTTCAGTAGCTGACTTAATTCATAATACACCGAGAGATTTGTGCACAAGTCAGCCGCCAGTCAGATTATCATCCAAAGATAGTTTGGAAAATCTGCTTTCAAAAAATTCACATGCTAATTTGTTGAGCCATCAAGTATCGGAATGTGTTTCCAAAGATGATTCTGCATTCAGAGGAATACCAGACTTACAGTCATTAATGATAAAGAACACACCACCTAATAACTCAAATAATTTACCACCTGATTTCCAAAACATTCCAGAACAAAGGAATTTAGCAAGTTTAAATAATCATATACAGTTAACTAGCTCATTGGAAAATATGACTCTTGATAATCTAAATACTGATAAAGAGACTGAGCTTGGAAGTGTTTCTTTGGTTGGGCCAAGTGCCAAGAATCACATTTTAAAAAAGGACAGTTCACAGTTGTCCCAGCATGGAAGTACATCCCTGGCTGAACTGTTTCAGGAACATCAAGAGACCAGTCCAAGTCAATGTTTAACTTTATCTGATCTTTGTAGCCAGCACTCATCTTCCAGTTTCTCAGATTTAAGTTTGGGATCCTTTCCCTTGTCACAGTTGGCAAACCACTGTCAGTCTTCAACTGAAATATCAGAGTTATCAGGATCTCTGTCATCTTTGGCATTTCATAAAACTTCTCCTGCAAGAGACCTTGAGAATTTGTCACTTTCTGATTTGATTGCAGAAACAATTGCTGTAGACAGCTCTCAGATTAAGAAAGATTCTTTGGAGCGAGGTTCATCTGAAATGAAATCTCCTGGGATAAATTCAAATATTGATCTTAGTGTCCTTATAAAAACATCAGATTTTGTTCCAAAGCCTGTGGTAGATGAATTAGTTCCTCCAACATCAGGAACCAAAGTTTTAAGTTCAAGGGTAGGGAAAAATTCCAGTTCCACTAAGGATGTTAAGAAAAACGAAAAAGGCTCTCTGAGTAGAAGAACACCATTTTCCGTTTCTTGGACCAAGGCCCTTGCTGCTAGACCTTCAGCTTTTGCTTCAACACTGTGTCTTCGTTACCCACTGAAAGGCCACAAGCGACGTGCCATTGACCTCTACAAGACTTTTCTTTATAGTAGACAGGTCCAGGATGTAAAGGACAAAGAAATAAGTCCTCTGGTAGCAATAACACCATTTGACTTCAAATCACCATCTCCTGATGACATTGTAAAAGCTCATCAAAAGCAAGCATTTACTAGAGAATAGTAACAAAAGGAAAATCTCATCATTGTTGTAGAGCTTTTTATTTAACATTAATGTAGTCTTTATAGGATCACTTCATATTATGGGATTCAAGTTGTGAATTTTATATTAAAATTATCTTAGGTCAGTTGATAATATGTTTTTGCACTGAAATGATTGTTTTTACTCTTGTTTGGTAATAATTGTCTAACTTGTTAGCCTTTAATGAGTGTATGTTTACAAAGGGCATATGAACACTTGATATTGTGAAATCAGACCTCAGATATTTTTGTTTGATATTCAATTTGTAAGTTTTAAAATGAGCTATTTTCCTCTATGCAGTATTTTTGTGCTTTATTCTTTATAAAAAAAGCCAACATGAGATTATTATAGTTTAGTATGAGGGTTATCTTATGTGTGGTATAGCATAGCTGAGATAGAATTATATTTTAAAAGTATTGTTGACATCATTCCCAGTATCATTATTTTTCTGTAGGTGAATACAAAAATTTTTCTATTAGAAAAATCTTTAAATTCCTGACTTAAGAATACCGTGGAGGCTGTTGAAATACATTTTTGATGAAAATAAAATGAAAATCTTTTAAGGGACCATGTAAATATCGAAGTTGGATTTATACAGAAATTATTTTTATACATTTTTGGGATGGTTTGTCATAAGTGTGTATTTTAAAATAAATACATACAAAGTGTTTTCCAGTATGGCTGCATTTTGTTTGGATAGATAATCTTACCAAGTATCTTTAGCTTTCTTTTTTACATTAAGCAATGAAAGGTGAAATTCTCCTTTTTGCTACAGATGGCTGTGTGCTCTGCAATGGTAGTTTCAGATTGGCCAGATCAAATAAGAGCTCTTCAAGTTTGTAGAATAATATATTTCATTTGTGTCTTAGACTTAAAGAACTTGTCCACAACAAGCATTCAGCAGGGGGAAGGGAATGTTATCAGAATACAGGTGCTGTGGTTTCACTAGGCCTGCTGACAGTCCTTGAGTGTGTACGTTCACAATGATCGCCAGGTAGTGCCGATGTGTACTTATGTTGGAAGTACTGCTTTAGAGAAGGAAACCACTGGAGTGAAATTAGTAATGCTAAGAATAAAGCAAGATTCATAATTATAGAATTTAGGAATACCAAAGAAAGTTGCTAATTAGGGATTATGATCTTTTGCATAAAATGATGCAGATATTAATAGTTCTTGCCAAAAAATATTTCTTAACTGAAAATGAAACAGCCTTTTCCCAGCAAAGAAATATTTTTCTCTGGCAGCTGTGTCATTATGCATTTCATTTGTTTTTGACATTCCTTCTGGTTTTTAGAATAACATTTCAATAATCTTAGCCCTGTTTTATGTTTTTGTATTTAGCATTCTGCTGGAAAAAGAGGGCTCAGTGTGTCTTCATTATTCTTGACCAAGCACTTCTTGATTTTCTGTGATGTCTTCAGATTTTGTTTGTAATTGCTATTTCCAAACACGTAATACTGATGATAAAGAGATTGTAAAAATAACAAGCTGTATTTTATGATCGATTTTAAAACTTGAATTACCCCAGCTGCTGAATTTGTTTTTTTAATCTTGAGCGTTGATCAGACATTTTGGTAATTTTGAGCTATTAGTATGTGTCTCATCTACTAGATTTATATATATACAGGCTCTTATTTTGAAGTGGATTGTATCCTAAGAGTTTGTAACTGACAATAATTCTTGGCAGATTAAGTGCCATGTAAGTGGTCACTTTGCACATGACTCCACAATATTTACTTATTCCTTATTGAAGTTGATTAGAGGTATTATTTTACCTTCTTGTAACAAACAGATTTTTAAGTGGAAATAAACTAGTATTTAAGCCATGTAACAAACCTGGTAGAGTGATATTTATTAGCTAATTAGGATTCTAAATACTTCTGTAAAATTTGTTTTTGTGGGGAAAAAATCTATCTGTAATGCAGGGTGGTAAAGGAAAGCAACAACAGGTATTTGGTAATAATGCTTAAGACATCTGTTTGCAGTCTTGGAATGCCTAGGATCAAGTCCTGGCTGTATTTCTACTTAGCTTCCTGAACAGCTGTGTCCTGGGAGATAGCTCAGGTAGTTCAGCTGCCACTTATCTGGAAGACCTAGTGTCAGTACCAGCTTCTGGCTTTGACACAGTCCAGTTGTGCCAGTTGTGAGCATTTGTGTAGTAAGTTGGTAGGTAGGAGAAACCTTTCTCATTTCTTCTGCTTTTCACATAAATAGTTAAAACTTTAAAACATATCTTAAGTAGAGCCTGGCACAGTAGCCTAGTGGCTAAAGTCCTCGCCTTGCATGTGCTGGTATCCCGTTTGGGCGCCAGTTCCCATCCTGCTCCCTGCCTGTGGCCTGGGAGGGCAGTTGAGGAAGGCCCAAAGCCTTGGGACCCTGCACTCATGTGGGTGATCTGAAGGAAGCTCCTGACTCCTGGCTTCAGATTGGCGCAGCTGTATCTGTTGCGGCCGCTTGGGATGTGATTCCATCGGATGGAATATCTTCTGCTCTGTCTCTCTTCCTCTTTGTATATCTGATTTTCCAATAAAAATAAAATAAATCTTTAAAAAAAAATCTTAAATACTTTTACAGTGTCCCTTTTTTCCTGTCTTTGCTCCTGACCTGTCTGGCATTTCCTTGACAACACTTACCCTGTTGGCTAAGCAAATGTCACACGGTCTTGCGATTCAGAGGGTAAAACCAAGAAGACCCTCCTGCCCCACTGACCCTTGACCTGAAAAGTCAAGTGCATGCTGGTTAATGGATGTATTTGCTATGACAACGAATGTTTGTGCCCCGTGTGCGTTATTCTGTCCTTGCAGCTGTTTGTTGACTACTGTCTTGGTAGTTCAGGTTGTGCTCTCTGTAGTGAGTCCAAGTTACCTGCAGCAGTTATGTCATATAAAGTCACTGGGAACACTGAATTAGCCAGTACAGAAACAGGTGAGTGTCTGTGAGCCGCTGGTATCAACATGTCATCAGGCAATCCATTTGTAACCTTGTTTTGTTTGTGCTTGTATTTAAGTTTATTAATTTAATACACGTTAATCTGTAATTGTAAAATCTGAAGTTCTCCAAACTGCAATTTCTCAGTGCGATGGTTAAATGTGTGCAAACAGCTCAAAGTCCAAAAACTGAGATTGAAACTATCTTCAGTCTGAAGGAGTTCAGATAAGTGGTATCAGTCTCTATGGTTTATACATCATTGAATCATTTGTGCTACAATTGATGTTCCTAATGCTTATCTGTTTTTGGTGAGTTGTATTATAGTCTTCTGTGCTTACAGACGTCAGACATCACTTTGGCACTACAGTTTCAAGCCATATTAAATGGTAGAGTCAACATAAAAAAAATGGATAAAACATGACACTAAATAGTACATGGAAAGGGTACTTGTAGACATTTGTATGCAGTATGAGGCTTAAAGTAAGAGGCAGAATGATTGCTTGTTTGATTTCACCTGGGAACTTGCATCCTGGATGATTCAGTGTTCGCCGCTTTGAACATGTCTGAGTGACTTTAGACCTGTGGTGAATGGCGGCTGCCGTGTTGCAGTGAATTTTAGTAATTAGGTGAATCCACAAATGTGGGGTACACTGAGAGTGAGGATCCATCGTATGTTTTGGTCTGCTATGTATCCTTTTCTCTTCAAAAGCATTAACTTTAGACAGAATTGCTGAAACTGATGTTTCATGGCTGTTTGGTGTATTTTCCTCTGAAGTGCTCTCAACACTAGAGCTAGAGTGACTTTTCTTAAATGTAGATATATTTTTCGGTTTTCCTGTGTAAGGTTTTTCTTCTCTAGGCCTTTTCCAATTTTAAGAATTCCACACCCGAAAAGCCTGCGCTACCCCCAGAGGCATTCTCAGATAGGGAGCAGGGGAGGACCCATGCCCCAATTCATAAAAATGCCAGTCTGGATACAGACTGGGTTCAGTTCTTTTTTGAGATGTCCACTTTGTCTACCAGCTGTGTTTCTTTTTATTAATCCTGGCTGGCATGCTTACTGCAAAAATGATATCGTGCCTAAATCCACACAAGCAAACTTTCCCAGTTTCTGCTGTTTCAATAGTTCTCGCCTTCTTTTTCTTCCTCTTCCCTTCAAATTGTAGTTTAGATTTCATACAGGCTAATCATAGGCAGCAGAACCTCTGTGTGTACCCATAATTCACCATTCTCCTTTTATTACCGCCCACTCCATGTGAAATCATAACCTTTACCGTGCCATTATACATGGACACTTTGTCTTGTAGCCTTGCCTTATCTTCACAACACTTCATGCTATCATCTAATGTTTTCTTAGTGTTGTATATGCACTTGTTTTTGTTCTCCATCTCTTACATGTTTCCCATGAAGCTCACTTCACCATTGAGCTCTATAATTGCAGGAATTGTGGGTGTTCACTTCTGTAGTCTTGCTGTAGAATCTGTGTGACATAAAAATATAGGAAAAAAATTTAAAGTAAAAAGTAACTGTTTAGCAGAGTTCAGTCTTATTTCCTTGAGAAAGCCACTGTAAATAATGTATTGTTTTTACTCTTCTAGACATTCCTTGTTGAATGCATATGAACATATATACATGCTTTAACACAAAGAAGTGTATGCTATATCTGTGTCACTTAGTAAGCCATTTTGTACTCTTAATATTTGCCAGAAGAGCTTAATCTCACTCTTCAAAACTATAAAATTCTGTGATTGTGTCATCATTAATTTTTAACAGTCCCTACTCACAAACATTTTTAAATGATTGTAATTACTATTATTAATGATATAAAACTGAATATAGGGCCTAGCATGATAGTCTAGTGGCTAAAGTCCTTGCCTTGCATGTGCCGGGATCCTTTATGAGAGCTGGTTTGGGTCCTGGCTGCCCTTCCTCCATCATGCTCCCTGCTTGTGGCCTGGATGGCCCAGAGCCTTTGGACCCTATACCTGTGTGGAAGACTCGGAAGAGGCTCTGGGCTCCTGACTTCAGATTGGCTCAGCTGCAGCCATTGCAGCTGCTTGAGGAGTAAATCAATGGACTAAAAATTTTCCTTTCTGTCTCTCCTTCTCTCTGTATATATGACTTTCCAATAAAAATAAATAAGTCTTAAAAATAAAAAAACATAAAGAGAGGGACCACATCTTTATTTAAAAGAAAAACAACTGAGTGTATATCCTATATTTCTAGAAATTAGATTTCTGGACCAAAAATTGATATACTTTTTGATCATTTCTAACTGCATTAATAGAGATAGTAATGATCTTGTTCATACTAGTTTGTATTTCTGCCCCAGTTCTCTGTGCTCTGTTTAAGTTGATAATTGGAAAATACCTTTTTATTTCATTTTCATTTGTGAGGCTTGATTCCCTCCTCATATAATTCAGTATACTTACTTGTTATCTCAGAATGTTTGCTTTTAATCATTTTTCTTATTTTTAAGATATGTGCATATAGGAATCTATAAACATACACATACATATATGAAGAGTTTTCAAACAGTGTCAAGATTGTGCATCATGAAAATATAGATTTCAAAAAGTTTTTGCTCAAATCAACTTACCTTTTAATTCTATTTTCTATACTTTCTGAACTATCTATGCATTGACATATTAAGGATATTACATCTTTAAAAATGTTGTATGTGTGGAAAATAGTTTTTATTTTGCTGCCTAATTCTTAGATCATTTTAAGGAGACACATTTTTCATTTTTAGTTATTATAAATTTTTAATCTTACAAGTTTTTCAGAATCCTGCTCTATTGCAAGTTGTTAAGAAATGAAATAATTTTTTTCTTCTAATATGTTGACAGATTGATTTGATTCAGTTGGTAAGAAGGGCTATTTTAGGAATACGCTTTCTCCACTAACATTTTCACTGTTTAGGGGAAGGTAGCATTATTAAAGTACCTTTTTGTTGAATTACACATCTTTATTTTTTCTAATATTATTTTTGTTGGAAAGGCAGATTTATAAAGAGAAGGGGATGCAGAGAGATCCTCCATCTGCTGGCTCACTCCCAAAGTGGCTGCAGTGGCCGGAGTTGAACTGATTTGAAGCCAAGAGCTTCTTTGGCTCTTCCATGCGGGTGCAGGGTCTCAAGGTTTTGGGGCCATCCTCAACTGCTTTCCCAGGCCACAAGCAGGGAGCTTAATGGGAAGTGGGGTCTCCAGGACTAGAACTGGCACCCAAATGGGATCCTGGCACGTTCAAGGTGAGGACTTTAGCTGATAGGCCACCATGTTGGGCCCTACATATCTGTTTTTGACATACACTAAATTCTTTCTGTTTTTCTGTTTGTTTTAAGATTTATTTATTTTTATAGGAAAGACATTTATAGAGAGAAGGGGATTCAGAGAGATCCTCCATTTGCTGTTTCACTCCCAAAGTGATTGCAATGGCCGAAGTTGAACTGATTTGAAGCCAAGAGCTTCCTTGGGTCTCCTATGTGGGTACAGGGTCCCAAGACTTTGGACCATCCTCTACTGCTTTCCCAGGCCATAAGCAAGGAGCTGGAGGTGAAATAAAGCAGCTTGAACGTGAACTGGTGCCCTTCTGGGATCCTGGCATGTGGAAAGGGAGAATTTAGACATTCAGCCATCATGAAAACTATTCTAACAAACCTTTAAATTGCTGTAGCTTTTTTATTTCTGTTACTTTTTTTAAAATAAAGATTTTATTTATTTCTATAAAATGTATAGAGTTAGAGAGATGGAGAGGTAAAGGAAGATCTGTTTTTTTATTCATGCCCCAAATAACTGCAATGACTGAGACTGGGCTAGGTCAAAGCCAGGAACATGGAAGTCATGTGGGTCTCTAATGTGAGTGTGTGGGACCAAGTACTGGGGCTGTCCTTTACTTCTTCCCCAGGTACCTTAGCAGGGAGCAGTGGGAACTTGAATGTTTGCTCATATGGGAAATGGCATTGTGGCAACCTCTCAAGATCATAATGCTGGATCCTCTTGTGAGGTTTTAATACTTGTAGGCTAGCTTCTTTTTCTTTCCTTTTTTCAGAGTTTCTTAAGTTACCTTTTTCCTCTAAGAGCTTTGGAAGTAGCTGACAAAGTTAGTAAAGATTAAAGCCAAGTGTAATTTTTATTGGGAGGTTTAATCATAATGAAAGTTTGTGTTTTTTGCAGGGAAAAAAATTCAGTCTCATAGATGCCAAAAGGTTTGGATATCATTAAACATGCTTTATTATTATTTCCATGGATTTTCTAGTTATTGATATAGTCTGATACTACAGAAACATGGTTTAATGAATGTGATAGATTTTATTTGCTAATGTTTCATTTAAGATGATTCCAGCTTTTAAAAATTTTTAAAATTTTTATGATACGGTTTCTTAGGCTCAGGGGTTTCCATTCTTCCCCTCCCCAGAACCCTTTTTCCCCAATGTTTTCCCCTATAACAATAGTATAGTCCTTCTTAAAATTAATTTGCAACTGTAGTTTTATGCTTATGCTGTTTATTGGATTTTGGTTTCATTTGGGGTGATTTATAGAAAATACAATTTTTCTTCTCAATTAATTTGGCATTGAAATAATTCATGTCATGATAGAATTCCTCTTTCTGAGTATTCTAGGGTTTTGAAAGTTTTAATTTTCTTAGGAAGTCATCCATTTCATCTGTGTTGACAAATGTATTTGTTGATTATGCCAAACTTTGTTTTATTGTTTTAGATTTCTTTATCTGCAGTTGTTTTACCCACTCACATTTTAGATACTGTTTTCTCTCCTGTGCACTACCTATTCCCATCTTCTTCCTCTTGTGTATTGCTGTACAGTTGATCTGCACTGTTACTCTGTGACTGTCCCCTCGACCAATAATTCATTGCAATGGTTTTAATTCATTACTTTGTGAGTTGGTTTATAAATGAACATGTTTTCCATATTTTCTTCTTGTTGTCTATTTTTCTGAGTATAATATTTTTCTGAATGGAAATTTTTATCTATTGAAATTTAGACACAAAAAATGCAGAGAATAAAATGACTGATTGGACTACCATTTATTTTTAACAGAAGCTAATATTTATGACCCACACATTTTATGTATGTCTTTTAAGAAATAAACCATTAGATTGTAATCCTAGTCCCACTTTCTACTTCCTGAGTTGCATATGATATGTGTTATTCCTATCTTACATCTTCATACATATCTGTTATTGCCCCAAGGAATCCTTCATTTGCTGTATGTGGTTTTTCAGTTACTCTTACGTACTAGCTATGCACAATTTTGATTTCCTTTTTAAACTAACAATTTGAGAAAGTTTTTGTTTGCTTGTTTGCTTCAATGACTGGCTTAATAGTATGTTTTTCTTTGTGGACCAGTATTTTTTATAATGATGTTACTGATGCTTCCTTCTTAACAGTTATGCTTGTAGATGATAAAATACAAAGTTTCTGTTACATTTTAGATTGTTAAGTTTCATATTATTCTTCATGTTATATTTCTTGGTTGGTTATAGGTTGAGAGAGAAGGTAAAGTAATCCATTTGCATTTTCATTTTGTCTCCTTCCTATAAATTTTATCCTATAATTTTTTCCTGTATACTTAAAATTTTCATTAATATAAATTTCCTTTTTGGTATTTAAATTTATTCCTCTTAAAAATTTTTATAAGTTTATGTAAAAGAGTTACAGAGAGGGGGTCAGAGACAGAGAAATCTTTAATTCTCTGGCTCATTCTCTAGATGGCTACAGTGACCGAGGCTTGGTCAAGCCAAAGCCAGTAGCTTCTTCCAGAACTCCCATGTGGATAGCAGTGACCCAAGAACTTGGACTATGGCCAGCTGCTTTTCTCAGGCCATTAACAGGGTGCTGTATGGAAGTGGAGGAGCTGGGATTGGAGCTGGCATATCACAGGTGCTGGTTTAGCCTTCTGTGCCAGCAATACTGGCCCTTCATCTGTTTTTAAACAATTTTAATCATTCACTGTTAGAGCTATATTCCTTTTAGCTTCAATGCTGTATTCTTTCACTGATAACATTATATAGACTGACATGGGCAGCAGCATGGAGATTGAATTGGACAGTTTAGATTTTTTTTTAAAGAAAGGCAGATTTACAGAAAGGAGAGAGACAGAAAGGTCTGTCTGCTGGCTACAATGAATGGAGCTGAGCCAGTCTGAAGCTAGGAGCCAGGAGCTTCTTCTGGGTCTCCCAAGTGGGTGCAGGGTCCTAAGGCTTTGGGCCGTCCTAGGCTGCTTTTCCAGGCCACAGGAAGCGAGCTGGATGGGAAGTGGAACAGTTGGGACATAAACCGGTGTCCATATGGGATCCCGGCGTGTGCAAGGTGAGGATTTAGCCATTGAGCCTTTGAGCCATTTCTCTGGGCCTCATTTTAGGTTTGTGAACTTACTGCATCTTGTTCCCTTAAGTCATGGTTCAGACCAGTTTTGTCACCTTTGCCATTTTTTCCCCCTTTTTGAAGCAAAACAAAATCTAAAAAACTAACAAGTGAAGTTCCCTACTGAAGGGTTAAATATGTTTTAAAAAATTTATTTCACAGGCAGAGAGAGGGGGGAAAAACCTCCCTGCAGCTTGTTGTTGCTAAATGTAAGCTGCCAGACCATGCTGAAGCTGCAAGCCAGTAACTCAGTCCAGGTCTCCCATGTGGATGACAGCAGCCCAACTGCTGGAGCCAACACCTGTTGCCTCCTGGTGTGTACTGTACCAGGAAACTGCATTTAGGAGTAGAAACTACATTTTGACTGCAGCCTCTAGTACTGAGGTGAGCATCTCAGGTGCTAGGCCAAATGCCTCCCCCTGTTCCCAAGATTTTTATAGTTTCCTTGTCCTTGATGTGGGTAGGTTCTCATATTCTTCCTGAGTCTTCACATTTCTGTGGATCTTGCTGTTTTCATGCTGGTTCTTTGCGGGCTTTCCATGGAGAATGGTGCCTTCTTGGCAGATCTGTAGTCAGTGGGTCTTGATGTCCAGATCCATCTACATTTGTGACTGGTAGATACTCTTCATAATTAGTGCCACGTTTAATTTGGAGAGGATTGGGATGTTGTTTTTCTAATGGTACTTTCAAGTCTGAAGCCAGACAAACTGGGAACATGATATGGCGAGCTTTGTCATAAAGGGTTAGGGCCTTGGCTGTGATGCTTTCACTGTCTGCTTCAACCTGTGCTGCTTAGCAGTTGAGAAGGAAATGTATTTCATTTCTTTTTAAGAGAATTTTTCAGTGTTCTTACAGAGTTTGGGGAAGAGGACATCATAGTACTTACATAACAATTAGCCTTTTATTGTAGCCAGTGAGGACTGATTTCTGCAGTGATGAATGTCAGTTTGTCATCTCAGTTTAGATAACCTTTTAACAGATAATGGAAGTCACCGGTAGCAGATACGGATAGCCTTAACATATGGTAATATAATTTGCTGTTTTTTCTTATTAATGAACGGCTATAAGCATTTATCTAGGGAGCAAAATCAAAAATCTTGGCAAAGTCTTATTTGTGGATTAGAATTTTATGATTAGTCAACGTAACTGGAAGATCTTCTTGTAAACAATGTATACAGCTAGTAATATGTGAAATAAAGTTTTCTGATTATGAGGCATTTTTTAACATTGGGCTTATTTTTATTCTTTTAAGAAATTTAGTTAATGTTAGACAAGTAAGCATTGAGAAAAAAGTTGGTTCACAAATCTATAAAAAGAATCATGTGATTTTAACTTTTTTTTTATAGTTCTCAAAGTGATATTTCCATTGCCTCAGAAATTAAATAGCTGGCATGTATTTATCATACTTACATCATGTAGAATTGGTTCTTTAAAAGTCATGTATGCTTTGGAGAAATGTACTCCAGTATTTTACTTTATAATTGAACCACTGTTTTTGACAGTGTTTTAAGTAAACACTGGTATTCACATACTTGCTAAGAAACCTGTTTTGCATTATTTTTCCCTTTGAATGCATCTTTCATTTTAAGTTAGTCTTTTATTTAGTCCTGATGTTATAGGGTGAGAACATAGCTTTATTTTTCTAGCATTGATTTCCTATTATAGTTTTTGATCTGTTAAACTTTATTTGGTATATCTGTATATTATAATTGAAATTCCTGCATGGTATTATCATATTCCAATTTTGATAATTATATTTGGGTCTTAATAGCAGGTTCTTCTGTTGAGTAGATTCAGTAAACTCAAGATGAAGCAGAGTTGTGAACACTTGCAGTGGGTCTCCAACCCCCTGCTTCTTTTGTGAGCTGTACTCGTGTCTTAGATACCATCTGAGAAACTGAAATGGAGATAGTGAACTTGGATTCTTAGGAAGAGATGCCTCTTTAATCTCAGTTCAAATGTATTTCGATATTTTTAATGTTAGACTTGATATAAATCTCATGATTAATATGAAAAGTTGTATTACAGAGAACAATTACTGATGTGAAATGTTATGAATATTATGCAGTTTATACGAACTTTTCAGTAATGTAATGCTGTTAAAATACCTGTTTCATTTTACTTTTTACTTGATGTCTTTTTAATATATGTTATTAAATCATAATTAGCTACAAACTTTCTGGTTTCTCCTTGTAAATGTTTTTATTTGAAAACATTATTTTCCAATTTTTTTTATCACTGAGTACTCTTGCTCAAACATTTAGAGGAATTTTATACTTCTTATACTGATAACTGCAGAATTAATTGACTTTTGACTTAAAATTATGTGGGTTTTTTTTGGAAAGGAAGTGGTTTATTTCACTGAAAACGCTTAAGTAGTTCAGAATGTTCTCAGATATGTGCTAAGATTCTCTTTGTATATACACCTACACTGGAAAAACTGAAACACTAATTGCTTAATTTAAAAATAATTTGCTTTAGTGTCTCAAGGCAGCTGTCGTCTTCGTGAATAACCAGCATCAAGTGTGAATTGTAGGAATGGTAAATACGGAGTGTTCTTTTAATTCTAATCACTTTGCTTTTTGTTCTGAACCTTAACAATTGCATCCAGTTATATATGTGTTTGTGTCTTTTGTCACTCAGAGACAGCTGCAAATTCCCTTCTTAGGTGTCTTTTGAGTGCTACCTATGTGCTAAGCGTTGCTAAATAGCAAGGGACAGAATGGACGGTGAGGACAAGTACAGTTTTAAGTGTACTTCTTGAGGCAGAAAAATGTGCTTGACATTTAGGATATAACTTTAAAGCTTAGACTTCCCTCCATAGAACTTCATAGTGTCCTGTGAGGGGCTAGCTGGCGCTGCGATTTAATCAGATTAGAACGGAGTGTTTTCATGTTGCCTCCTGATGCTTCTTGACTGCCTGTCAAGTTTTCTGTTCCACAGTATGCTGCCTCTCAGTAGAAGACAAGGAAGTGCTTTAATGTATTGGATATTGACTAGGTCTCATGCTTTGTGTATTTTTGTTGGTTATTCCACAAAGGTAGGTGAAAGAAATCAAGGCTCATGTGTGATAATATGTACTTTTGCACAGGTTTTATAAGGCAAATTGTGATGCCAGTAAAGTTCTTATTTGGCTTTCCAATACATTTTTCATTGTTATATTATATCCTGCAGCAATTTTTACCCCCATGGTAATTTTTTTGTTTTTTTTTTTGGAGATGAGTTGTTTTAGCCTTTGCTAGACAACCATTTTTACTAATGAAGTGTTCAAAAAGTTTTTCCAGTGGTTATTTAAGAAACCTGTTATAAATTCTGTTATAGATCATTTTCTTCCTTTCTTTTAAATGTAGTTATTTGAAGGGCAGAGTTATTTGAGAGGTCCTTTGGTTTACTCCCCAAGTGGCCACAATGGCTGTGGCTGGTCAAGGCCAAGGCCAAGGCCAGGAGCTTAGAAACTTTTCAGGTCTCCTGCTTTTGTGGCAGTGTCCCAAGCACGTGAGCCTTCTTTTGTTGCTTTTCACAGATGCATTAGCAAAGAGCTGGATTAGAAGTGGAGCAGTGGGGACTAGAACTGGCACTCAGATAAGGTGCCGGCTGTCGCAGGCAGTGACTTAACTTGTGGGGTGTTCAGGGATCAGTTTCTAAATCCTTGTAAATTAGCAATCCTAAGAAATGAAGTGATTTTCCAGTCTTAATTTCAAGTCACTTTGTGGTCTTCAGTTCCTTTTTAAAAGCAATAATGCTCTCTCATTTAAAATACTTTGGAATTTTCTTAGGGTTGTTAGTTTGATGCCATCTTGAGCACAGAATTAAACTGTTTATGGATAAAAATGAAATTCAAATGGATCAATGTATGAATAAAAGTGTGTACTTATATCTTCTATCTGCTAATTTACTTGCAAATAGCCTCAGTGGCTGGGGGCTGAGCGCGGTGTAAAAGAGGAGACAGGAGCTCCTGCCTCGGTGTTGTACTTGAGTGGCTGGGACCCTGGCACTTGGGCCATCTCCTGCTGCACTCCAGCACGCTGGCTAGAAGCTGGATTGGAAGCAAAGTAGATGGGTTTCTGAACTGGTGCTCTGCTAGGGGATGCTGATGTGTTGCCAGGGTTGACTTAACATGCTGTGCCACAGTGGGAGCCCCTAAATGTTTACAGTAGTTACTTAGGGTAATGATGTAGGGTACAGTAGTTCTGGGACATCTTGCTTACAACATTAGTGTATGGTGCAGCCAGCAGTCAGAGCAGTAAGTTTTGGTTATTGAAGTCCTCGTTTTTATACTTTGTATGTATATCTATGTATAGGATATTTTAATTCCTTTTTTAAAAAGTGAGATTGAAACTTACAAAAACATTCTCTTAACTCAGTCTCATGCTGCATGCTATACAGTTTCTGAAATTTTGTTTGTAATTATAAAATGCAACTACATTTACCAAGTTAGCTATCTTAAGGTGTTATGTATATTCACACTATTGTATAACCACTGTTCAAAAGTTTTTTTATCTTGCAGAACTGAAACTGTATTCATAAAGTAACAATTTGACATTTCACCTTTTTTCTAGCCCCTGGGAGCCAGCCTGATGGCTTTTATACCAGGTTATTTTAATTTTGTAATGTTGCATTGTCTAGAGGTCTTGATATTTACTTAACTAAATACATACTATGGGAAAAAGTTTTTCCAATTTATCATAAAAATGCTTCAATAAATATTTCTGTTCATTTTTGTCCTTTTTTGTACATTGTGTTTTAAATTATGGTATGAAACATGGTTTTAGAATGGTATTCTATAAAATGTTATGCAGTATTCTTGAGGCTTTTTAGTGCATAGCATGCTGTTTTCAGTACAATTTTACCAATTTACTTACATTTTATTATTTTTCATAATAGCATTATTAGCATTATTAGGAATAATTATACACAAGCAAGGATCTTATGTTTGTGTTGAAGTTTCCATTCATTAGTGGGAGGGTAGGAGTCAAAGAAGCATTATGTAGTTTTTTTTCTTGAGCCCGTTCTACTGGCAGTCAGCAATGTGTTCCTCGTAGTTCTGTCTGTGGCTCTGTCCGTGGCTTTCTGAGCATGCTGTGACAGGTTGGCATTGCCGAAACTTTCATTTCCTTGAGAAAATATTCTTTATAAGCTCCCAGGAAAATTAAAATACATGTGGTGATGCACTTGGCACGTGGAAAATGCTGAAGAAGGGATAATCAAACTTAATTCAGTGAAATAGTGTTCTTCTATTATTAACAAGCTTAAAGAACAAAGGCTGTAAGAAGGCAGATTGTTAGGTTAATGTCTCCTGAATTTGGGTGTTCAGGTTAGCTCCACCGATTGGAGATTTTTACAGTCATACATGATGGTACTTCACAGAGACCTTCTGGGAGATGACTTGTTACTCTCTAGTCGCTTTTTGAAAATACTCAGATAAATATTCTTTTATATAATTATGTACAAAAACAAATACAAGTAGGAATTTTAATATGTTTTTGTAAATAAAAGTCATACTGTTTTTGTAGTACACTGTCAGCTGGAATAGCTCAACCTACTTTTTCTGATAATTGTATAATAGGTCAAAGTATAATGGTATAATATTTGTATAGTATTTCAATTGTACGATATTTCAAAGTATAGTTTTCTGTGGTTTATTCAGGCCTTGTCATATGGAAGCTTATTCATTTTTATGTCCAGTTTTTGTCGCTGTGAACAGTACTTGTCATCTACTGTCCCTGTCCCTATCTTCATAAAGTAGGGCTCTTATTTCTTGGAGCAGTCCCCTGTAGTGGAACTGTGAGTGCAAAGGTGTACTGTTATTTCAGTGGATACAGCCATTGCTTGCCATTCCACAGCAGTTGTCATTAGTTTATTTAATTTTGGACAATCTGAATAAAAAGTGAATATATTCCATGACCATTACTAGTTGAGTAATTTTTCATATATTCATTTGTGATTAGAACTTTGTCTGTTAGTTGCCGATCATTTGCATTCCCTAGTTTTTAAATTTTGTTGCCTTTTATGTTTAAGTCTGATTGTATTAGATATATTAACTTTTTCATAAGATTTTTCCTTTTAATTTTTAAAATTTCTGATCTTTTATTCTGTAAAAAAAATTAAAAATCATTATGTCATTGTGTATCACTTATTCTTACAGATTCTAGGATGAAAAATGAACAGATTTTAGCTTACAGTTATACTTAATGATTTTCTGTTTAAAATTTATTTGCATACATTTAAATTTAAATGTATAAATTCAAAATTACAGTACATTTAAAATTAAGTTTATTTATTTTTTGAGTTTCATTTTTGTACAGGCAATGGTAAAGAAAGGGGAAATTTTATTTTTCCTGGATATTGTTTTAGTCTTAAGAATGCATAAGCCCTTGTACTGTGACTAATGTTAGAGAGCTGTGAAATTAGAGTAATATCATGTTGTGGTTTAGCTTTGCCATTTGCTATCTCTGTGACTTTCTCTGAGATTTTTTTAAAGTGATGGTATCTCAAACATAGAATTTTTTTTTTTTAATTATAGATCTCAAACTTAGGAGGATTTTTCCTCTAACCTGCGTCTGTTATACAAGGGTGCTTCATAAAGGTTGTGGTTAAGTAGAAATTTTGGTGTAAAAAGTTTTGTAATCAAGGTATTGTTTTTTCTTAATAACATTTCCCAGGAACTATTTGAAGATCCTTTATTTTATAGTTCCCTTAAATTGGTTAATTTCCTCCTTGCCTTTACTAATTGCTTTAAAGCTCATTGCATTTTGCTTTATTTCTGGATATGGTGTCATTTATCTTAGGCCATCCAAGAATGACTCCTGGCCCTACATGTGAATTCAAGATGGTGCTGTAAAAGGATACTGCACATTTTTAAAAAAATTAGTTTTCTTTACGGTTGTGCAGATAAGATTGCCTTTCCCTGATTTAAAGTTCATTTTCTTGGATTTCCCAAAGATGAAATTTAGAAAAAAAAATTGAAGATGCGGTTGAAGTATGGATTGAAATGTGAAGGCCTGTGTATGTATATTTTATGGCCACTTTACTATTTATTTACTTATTTTAAGATTTAATTATTTTTATTGGAAAGTCAGATTTACAGAGAGGAGAGAAAGATCTTCCATTTGCTGGTTCTCTCCCCAAGTGATTGTAATGGCCAGAACTTAGCCAGTCTGGAGCCAGGAGCTTCTTCAGTCTCCCCTGTGGGTGCAGGGTCCCAGTGCTTTGGGCTGTGCTTGGCTGCTTTCCCAGGTCCAAAGCAAGGAGCTGGAAGGGAAGTGGAGCAGCCAGGATACCAACCAGCACCCAAATGGGATCCATGCAGATGCAAGGCGAGGACTTCAGCCACGAGGTTGCACTGTGCCAGGTCCTTTATGGCCACTTTAAACAGTGTAAATGACAACCACATGAAGAGAAGAGAAGATTAATAAACTTTGTCTTAAAATTTGATTAATACAGTTTATTTTTTGTTCCTCTTCTCTTGCTTTTGGAGCCCTTTCTTGCAGTTTCTGACAGGATTCTTGTGAACTTTTGGTTCATGTCCAGCTAATTTATAT